AAAAGAAAAAGAAAAAGAAAGAAAAGTTATTGAATGTATCAAATGAGAAAATGATGCTTAAGAAAACAGCATACAAAGGATATTCTAGAAAATAAAAAGGTAATAAAAAAGATGAGAAACTTGACAGAATCTGAAAACCGGAACCATGGCTTGAGTCACATGAAGAACACACAGGACCCAAAAGCCAGGGAACCAAACATGAAAGAGAAGTACTCAGGCCCCTAGTGTGACAGTAGGGGGAGAGTCCTGGATGGGAACCTCCCCCCACAAGCCGGGAGTGATGCCCTGCAAAGCCTTCTTCCAAAAACACCTGCTGTGGGGCCGGCCAGATAGCTCAGTGACTAAAGTGCCTGCTTAGGCAAAGTGCAGTGACTGGGGCTCGATCCCTGGCATGCTGTGCCATCCCCACCCCTGGGGCACACTGAGCCAGTGACTGAGAATGGGCATCGTGGCACATGCCTGTAACCCCAGCACTGGGGAGGCTGAAAACAGGAGGATCACTACAAGTCTGGCCTGTGTAGTGAGACCCGGTGGGCCCTGTACTAAATACATTAAAACAACAACAAAAAACACCTGCTGCCACCTGCAGTGGACACAGTCACATGAGCAGAGGGGTAAGCCATGCTGAGTTCACAGAAAACTGGGTGCTGAGTGCCCACCAGTAGGAAAAGGCAACTAAGTAGAGAGAAGAAAAATTGAGTCCCAGCAAGGCCTGGGGTTTTCGCGGTCATAAAATGTGCACATTCAGCAATGATCTAACCAGGTACATCTGCTATCTGGGTTGAGCAACGCTGGGGACATTTGGGCCTGAGTGAGGAGAGGACAGCCAGCTGAATCCAGACCTTCCAGGCGCTCAGTGATTGCGCTAGAACTGAGAAGTAAAGCAGTGAGTCAGTCCCGCTCCTCAGACCCATGGAGGCAAAGGTCTAAGGATCAGTTAAGACTGCTGAAAGTTTCTGAGGACGAGGAAATAAGGAACAATCATCAGAGAATAATTTATTACAATCTTATATAACAATTTGATTCTTGGATATGTGTATAATATAAAAGTAAGAGAATAAAAGAAAAGATTAGGTTGAGATGTAGCACAAAAAGAAGAGATTAAAAATATGTAATCCCAGTTTTCTGAGAGGCCAGGTAGAAGGACTGAAAATTCAAGTCCAGCATGGCAATTTAAGTGACTTAGACAGACCCCTGTCTCAAACAACAACAACAAAAATTTAAAGGGTAGCAATGTAGCTTAGTGTAAATGCCCCGGGTTCAATCTATAGTAACATACAAAGGACCAGCAAGATAGCTCAGGGGACTAAGGGCCTGCTTAGGCAAGCGTAGGGACTGGGGTTCAATCCCCAGCACCACATGCCATGCCAGCCCCATCCCTGGGTGCATTGAGCCAGTGACTGAGTCTGAGTGTGGGGCACATGCCTGTAATCCCAGCATTGGGGAGGCTGAAAACAGGAGGATCACTATGAATCCAAGGTGTGTAGTGAGACCTTGTACCATAATACACACACACACACACACACACACACACACACACACTCTAAAAGGAAGTGATTCAGGGTTTGATGGGTTATATCGTAACTGGAGATACTTGGGAAGCAGAGGCAGAAGACTGCAAATTCAAGACCAACCAGAGCAACTTTGCAAAAAACTATCTTAAAATATATAAAAATGCAGAGATTTCTTGGGATGTATCTAAGTGGTAGAGTGCTTCTCTAGCATGTACAAGGCTGAGTTTGATCCCCGGTGCTGGGTAAGAGTGGGGTGGGGAGGAAAGAATTGAGGGTAGAGAAACGGTCTCTGGTTGGAAGGCTGATCTATACTGGGAACATGTCAGAGAAGAGAAGAGGGAAGAGGAAAATGAGTTTTCCAGAACTGACAAAAGCTATGCATCCTCAGATTTAAGGCAACTGATAAGCCCCAAGGAAGAAAAGCCAAAATAAGACACAAAGGCAGTAAGAAAACATTAAGGGCAACAGAGAGAAGATATGGCACAAAGACAGACACTGACTCGCTAGGCACAGCACCGAGAACACCTGGCGACCTAGGACTCACGAGGTCCAGGCGAGGCTGCTTCTCACTCTACTCTTCAGGACGTGGCTAACTCTTGCCAATCTGCTTTTATGTTGAAGGGTTTTGAACCCATTTCCCCTAGACTGCTCTTTCTCATACTTCAGACTCTAAAGCCCCACCACAAAGAACGCCCCCACCCCACGCCAGGGCGCCCACAGCTGCCCTTTGCCTTTCTCCTCTCCCAGGCCCTCGGCTTGGCATCAGCCTTCCTTCCCTCTGTGGACCCTGGCAGGCAGCCGGCCACCTTCCTGCTGGGACCCTCGGCCTCGGGCTCTCGGCAGGCAGCGTGCGCCCTGCAGACCCCACAGCCCACCTCTCAGCCCTGGCTGCAGCCCTCTCCGTCTCCACCCTTACCCACCGCGCCGCCCACCCCTGCGGGCACAGCTCTGAGTCACTGCAGCTACTGGGACTACTGTTCTCTCACCACCAGATGCCCTGCCTCAGTTGCTTATTAATTTTAGTCTGGATACAAGTAAAATTCAAAAAATATAACAAGCAAAAAGAAATTAGAATCACTCAGAATTTCATACCCTGGAAGTGATCACATGAATATATTTCAGTCCTTCTCTGTAAAATTATACAGACTGAAACAAGTGTGTACGTGTGCTTGGTTACATATTATACATAAACAAAAACAAGATCACCTTCTACATCCTGTCGCAGTGGACTTTATCACTCATCTATATAAGC